CACACACACACACACACTGTAGATCAGTGTAAAACTGACAGTATTGCTAAAGCACAGTTGTAAAGTTGTTGTTTTATCTTTACTTGCATTACCGGACAAACCACAAGTAGGCCTAATACTACAAATCTGATATTACAATTTACTTAAGTCGTTATTCACATTCTCATTTATTTTCCACGAACATCTGATAAAATYTCTGAACTTGAACAACAGGAGTTATCTCATCACAACTTAGCTTTACATACAGCCCATGTGCACATTGAACTTTAAAACTCAATGCATAATGTTTATAATAAAYTGTTTTGAAAGCATTTCCTGTTTATTCCACAGAGCTGTCACGAGCGCAGCTAAAAAAAAATTCTCACTTTAATTTATCTTATTCGACTGGTAGCTTAATTCAAAAGTAAGAACAGAGAATATAGGATTAAAAATCACTTTTATATAAAAAAAATTGCGAGGAATGCCTTTCTGTTTTTGGTGTTTGTAAAAACACGAGTTTCTCGTGAAAGACGGGCGTTGTCTCGTTATTTTGTTTTATAAAATTAAAAATAAGACAAAACTTACCTTTAATTATCAGTCACACCATTGTTTTGTTGTTTTTCTTTTACTGGTTTCCGTCACAGATCAACCCTCTTCTATTATAAAGTCGCTGCTTCCTGAACACATAAATAGCCGAACCTGTGCAAGAACACCAACCAATCATATATGGCAGATAGCATTAAAGGCGGGACTTAAATACTACACCTACAATCTGATTGGCTGAGAGGTTACGCAACCGAACACATTACTGGATAAATACCCTTCTGTAATCAAGAGCATGCAAAGATGAGTATGTGGGTGAAAGGAGTGCCCTCTGTTAGGATGACTTTGCAAAAACATTTTATATAAAATATCACATGATTTAAACAGCTTTTCTTTATTTGGCCTTTAATTTTTTTGATTTTCCTCTGTAGAGGTGTTTCATTTTCCAGTTTTAAATTTGAAAAACAAAACTGCCCTCACAGCATTAATGTCTCCATCATTTTGTTTTAAATAAGGAGAAATCTGCTCACCTATATTGTATTTGTTTGCTAGAATGAGTATGCATCAGGTAGATCCACATAATTTATTTTTAACCATTCAATGCAATTTACAGAGCTTCATTTAACACATATTCAATTTTAACAACAAAACATTTTATTCAAGTTTGTTTATGTAATCCAGCAAGTATCTATCTGAATTAGAAGCACAGCAAAAAACAACATGGACACAATCTTTTTACAATAACATTACAGCAGTTCCTGAAACATATATGTATATTCAATATATAAAGATAGATTTTATTTAACTTAAAACTATTTTGCACAACAGAACAAACACAAACCAGACCAATCACATTCTTTCATGACATTAGATCACATCTAATATTTTTACAACAAAAAATACAGCTGCAATCACCAGAGGAAATAAAGTTAGTGAGGAGTTAAAAGGTGGATGGAATGATGTCTGCTGAGTAGTTGAAGGGAGGAAGTTTAAATACAGCCAAGGATAATATTAAAGACAAGCTAAAATATCACTACTATCATGCTGATTTCTTTTTTTAAACTATCAAATCCCTAACTTTTAATGTTAGCACTGTAAACAGAAAGGTGACTGAGTATTGTGCTCTTCCTCCCATCAAACCAGCACTTTTTTTTTTCACAATCTCACATGAAACACAAACATTCACAAAGGAGCTCCAAAGGGACGACAGGGGTGCTGATGGTCAGGACTTAGTCCATCCTGATTTTCTGATTGGTCATCCTGTAGATGATGCTGTCATATCCAGGGTCCATGTTCCACAGGTTGTAGGCGGTGGCGATGACAGCGAGGGCCAGGGCGATCATCAGCCACAGCACAATGTTGAAGATCACGGCGTACTGAAAGTTGTACTTGTAAGCCAGGTTGTAAGGACTGCCTGGGTTACTCTGGAAACATTTAACAAGTGTCAAAGCAGCAACATACACCAGGGAATAGTTTAAACCAGGCTTTTTTTTTAATAATTCAGGTAATTAAATTAGCTGTGTGGTATTTCTAATTAAAACTATTTCATAAATAAGAAAGGTTTTATTGCAGAACCTTTCATTAGCAGAGCCTGTGTTCAGTTTGTTCCATTAACAGAAGTCAATTAGGACAAACTAAACAAAACACTTCTTTTTAGTATGGTACTCCTCAGCCATCATGTTAGCAATTACATAGTTAAGTACAGATCACCACTGCCATTATCTCCATATTAGGCTGGATGTGTTGACAAAAATAAAYATGTAATAAAATGTGTTTCTTTTCCTGTCTACATCTCATGTTTGTTGTCCTAATTAAACTAAATCATTTTGTATTTGGGCCTTCCACCAATTTCCAACATTATCTTGACTGCATATTGAAGTTGACATAAGATAACTTATTAGCAATAAAAGCTGCTTGCATATTACTCTATTACTGCCTGAACAACAAAGGTTAAGTTGTTTGTGAACTATTAAAAGTCAGAGAAACTGCTGGGAAGTCTCTGCAAGGCAGAAGCTTCAATTAATGTGACTGTGGCGTGTATATAAAGATCCACATATCAAATCATAAATGACTTTCATATACACACACGTGGAAAAAATTGTTGGTACCTCTCGTTTAATGAAAGAAAAACCCACAATGGTCACAGAAAACTGGTGCCTTGCCACACACACATTTATGTCTCATCTGTCCAGAGGACATTCTCCCAGAGGCTTTGTGGCTTGTCAACATGCAGTTTGGCAAATTACAGTCTGGCTTTTTTATGATTTAGTGTCCTCCTTGTCTGACATTAAGTCCACTTTGACTCAAACGACAACAGTGTGATCTGACATTGATGTTCCTTGAGCTTGAGGTTCACCTTTAATCTCTTTAGAAGTTTTTCTGGGCTCTTCTGTTACCATTCATATTATCCGTCTTTTTGATTTATTATCAAATTTCCTCCTATGGCCACCAGGGAGGTTGGCTACAGTCTCATGGATCTTAGATTTCTGAATAATATGTGTAATTGTAGTCACAGAAGCATCAAGCTGCTTGGAGATGGTCTTATAACCTTTACCTTTAACG